TTCGTGAGTTACATATTAATCAGGGCCTACTGAATATCAGTGTCGTAGCTTCAGATTTGAAACTGCGACATATGCCGAGTTAGGTCCTTTGCACAAACACTGCTACGTTCATTTTGTTTTTTATATGTTTTTCTTTTTATTCTAAATTCAAAGTAAAATAGTAATGTCATTATATAATTGTGTGGTCTTCATTATTATGTTGTTTTGTCAGATGTAACATGTATAATTTATATTATTTTTCTTAAAGAGCGATTGTATTTAACTAATGATATCATTTAAATGAAAGGTTTGTTTAGTGTATGTGTAAATAAATAAATAAATAAACTTCTCTGTACCGTGTAAATTCACGCCACATCCCACCCTTCAAACCGAAACACAGCCATGCAAACACAACTGCTTCACGGTAGAAACGGCACTATTTATATATTTATTATAATATTTATGCATAATTTGTAGCTCCATCTAATTGCATGTATATCTGTGGCGACTACTCCAATATCGTTATGATCACGCGACCGCGCGCCATCCGCGTCGACCAATCGCGGTGCGCGGTCAACCATCGCTCAGCTGTTCGCAACATCTCGTGTGAAATTGTGTTTATAGTTTATGGGGTCGCTAGTCCCCATTACGAACATACCTCGTCGGTTCTGCAACTTTATTCCCTCAGTCTCTACTGTACAGTTGCATCTAATTGGATAAAAAAAACACGTGTAGTAACTAGTAATTTAGTACGCGTGTTGCAATGATGTACATGCAAATAGATGAAGTATCATTCCATTCGTGTTTCAACCGTGAAGCAGTTGTGTTTGCATGGCTGTGTTTCGGTTTGAAGGGTGGCATATATGGCGTGAATTTACTGAGTACAGAGGAATAACACCTGAGTCCTCAGGAATGGCAACGCATGGGTGGTATCATGGGCGAAACAGTGTACTCTGTTATGTCCATGGTACTGCTCATGTCTATAGGCGACGGTTACCACTTCCCATCAGATGGACCGTCAGCTTGTTTGCCATTCTAAGTTGTATAAAAAAAATCATCTACAATGTAATGTAATAACAATAATAATTAAGTCATTACAACCAAATGACTCGGAAATTGTAATATGATATCATAAGTCTGTGAGAGATTGTTATAGCGATAAGACCGCCTTTTGTACCTTTATTTATTTATTTATTTATAAAAGACACACCAACAATATGCTCACAATAATTAAGTAGATAATATACAATATTATTAGTAATTAAAAGAGAAAAACTACTATTACAAAATGCTTAAATCTAAGTTTGAACAAAAAATCTTACTCCTCACTACCAAGCTTAAGGCTATATGAACATATCAATTAAAGGCGTATACAGCTCTCACAGATAAGCGTCAATGTATACTAACTAACAATTATACAATTAGAAAAGACCTAACTACCAATCCATATTATTAATAAGCCTAGTATACTGCACTAAAGAATTACCAAAGATGTCGATATCATGGTCAACGTTTACGACTTTATTATACGATGATAACATTCTGTTGAGGGGAGAATTGGATCCTAAGTACCTTTATGTGTATATTTTAATCTGTACTTTACGCTACAGTATTTCACTTGAATGATTCAATTCATTGAATTTTCATGGACCCCCCGCTTACGAATTGTGACCCCCATTTTTTTTTTGTCATTCCAACGTGACCAGATCCCTGTCAAGCCTCCGTAGACCCTTATGGGTCCATCTGGACCACTTTGGAAGGTTTTAGAGAAATAGCGACTTAAAACCGACCATATTGGGGGAAAGGGATTGTTAGTAATGGGGCTTAACATTATCTCTTAACAGGTCGACCTCCACGCGGTGCCCCCTGGAAACCGTCGTGGTTAATTATTGATGAATTTGTCACGATGGATCAACTGACCTGCATTCATTCTCACCTATCGAGTTATCATACCTGTTTTCAGCGTCACCTATCATTCCTCACTGGTGCCCCATCAGCGTATATCGATAGCGCAGGCGGGTTTGCCATTTCATCATCACCCATTAAAAACCGGCCATATTGAATTAGATAGATAGATAGATAACCTTTATTAACAGTATTAAGAAAAATAAAAAATTAAAACAACAAAAAGAAAAAAAAAACAATGTTGCTGGTTGCTGGAGCCGCCTCAGCTGTTGCTATATATGTACAGCTCCAGCGAGATGTACCTATATAGCGCTGATTTACAGGCGACCCCTTAACTCCTTTACCTTTAGCATGCGTGCGGGTCGCCAGTACCTATTTCTCGGATGGGAGACTCAACACGCTTAACAACAAATACATAAAACATTATGGATTCTGTACACTAGCCCGCTATGAATTGAGAAAAATAGCAACTGATGGTGTATCTTTCGTCCTTTTTTTACTAATTATATTTGTATAAGAAGAAAGGAGGCAACCGTATGATATACAGTTTTTACTTTATCATTCCTTCTATGTAATTCCTTGTTCTCAGTGTCTACCTTAAAGTCGTTACGATCACGCGACCGCGCGCGATCCCCGTCCACCAATCGCGGCGCACCATTACCAGCCACACTCGACTTTTACAACAATAACCACGTGGGGGGGGGGGGATTATTAGTAATGGAGACTAAGAATCCCATTGGTAGCAATATACCCAACCAGGTCGACCTACTCGCGGTTCTCTCTGGAAACTATCATGGTTAATTCCTGATGAATTCATCATGATGGGCTAACTGGCCTGTTTTCATTCTCATCGATCACCCTTCCCTGGTGCTTTGCCAGCGTATCCCGTTAACGCAGGCGGGGTTACCAATCCATTTTCACCCATCAAAAAAAAAACCCCGGAGGGGAAGGGATTGTTAGTGATGAGATTTAACAGCTCCATTGCTAGCAATACACCCCATCAGGTCGACCTCCACGCGGTTACCCCTGGAAATCATAGTGGTTAATTTTTCAATTGATTACTATGGGCCAACTGACCTGCCTTCATCCTCACTTGTCATCCTTCTTCACTGGTACCCCGCCAATGTATAGTGCAGGCAGGGTTACCATTCCATTATCACCCATTAAAAAAAAAACAACAACCCCGAGTGAAACCAAAAGGCTTACCATAAACTGTTTTCCAAAAATCAGAGCCGAACGAAACAAAATTTCGTGTTTTAATTAGATAGATAGATAGATAAACAATTTATTTGCATTACTTACAGCACACAAACGGCAACAGACACAAATGCACGGTGAAAAAAGATAAAAAAAAAGATGCATGTACAAAAAATAAAAAAAAAAATACAAAAACAAAATGCATAAAATTTTGTATAAATTTTTTTCTCTTCATGCGTGTGGCACAATAATACATGATACATTACCGTTTAAACATATTGAAAATCTTAAAATATCATTCTTTAGACATTGTACAAAAGTCGATTGCTTGGGTACCTCTGTCCCATTCGTGTTTCAACCGTGAAACAGTTGTGCTTGCATGGCTGTGTTTCGGTTTGAAGGGTGGGATATGGCATGAATTTACTGGGTACAGAGGAATAACACATGAGTCGTCATGAATGGCAACGCATGGGGGGTATCATGGGCGAAACAGTATACTCTGTTATGTCCATGGTACTGCTCATGTCTGTAGGTGATTGTTACCACTTTACATCAGGTGGGACGTCAGCTTGTTTGCCATTCTAACTTGAAAAAAAAAAATTTAAGGGTACCAGTGAGGATGAAAGGCAGGTCAGTTAGCCCATCGTGACGTATGCAACAAGTATTAATCACAATGGTTTCCAGGGCGAATTGCGTGGAGGTCGACCTGACAGGGTTTGTTAGCAATGGGGCTATTTTTTTTTAATGAGTGATAATGGAATGGTAACGCCGCCCGTGCTACCGGTATACATCGGCGGGGCACCAGTGGAAGATGATAGGTGAAAATGAATGCAGGTCAGTTGGCCCACTATGATGAATTCGACAAGAATTAAACATGATGGTTTCCAGGGGGAACCGTGTGGAGGTTGACCTGAGAGGGTATATTGCTAGCAATGGGGCTATTAGATCTCATTACTAATAATCCCTTTCCCCCCGCAATGGGGCTATTAGTCCCAATTACTAATAATCCTTTTCCCCCCGGCATTTATGGTAGGATTCATAGTGAAACCAAATGTGTAGCGATCGAAAAGCTAGCACGACGCTGTAGGTACGAATTCTAAAACATAGTTGCCAAATATTGATTTCTGCCGCTTATGTTTAAAGAATTACGTTTACTTAGGGCTGCCATCACCTAAATAGCCGACACCGGATAAACATGGCAAAAGTCCCCAGACATTTGGGCAAAATGTGGTTTTTTTCCCCGGACGCTTTTGAAAGAATATTTTTTGTAACAAAAATAAAAACATTGTTATGTAAAACCAGGGTTATTGTGGATGAATTTGTAACTTAGATTTATTTCAATTGATCGCCTACCTGTAAAAAAGATTGGTTTTCAAAAACCCCTACCTGACGGCGCCCGGACGCCTTTCAAACTATTACAAATCCGGGGTATTCCGGACGGATGGCAGCCCTACGTATACTCAACATGAAAATTTACATACGAATATTTATTTGAACTTATATTGAAGGACAAAACTAAATCTGTCTTATGACGTCATCACACCAGCCATTTTTATTTATTTTTATTTACTTTTAACACTTTATTGCACCAACATAACATAATTTGTTGAACAATTTTCAATACGTATAGTGTAGTACAAAAGGCGGTCTTATTGCTAAGCAATCTCTTCCAGACAACCTTTGGGTAGAAGGAATTAAAGCATAAGTAGGTAGGTGGCGCGTTAAAAGAAATAGATCTGTAAAAAATAATATCTGTGACAGCATAGTCATATACACATACATAAATAAACACATACATCCAAATATATACATATATATACATACACATACACATATACATATATACGCATAAATACATACAAATATACCATACAAAGAAGTTATACAAAAATGTATAAATATGTTTTTTTTTGTTTCAGATCCAACCATCAGCCATATGACGCGAAGCCAGCGCCCCATAGATCTGATATCTAATTAGTGATAAACAAACAGACAGTATGTCTTCGAAAGCGATATACGAAGCGACCGGCAAGGACCTCATAAATAGGTAATTATAGAATGACAAATTTTTACCAGCGACTTCGCGTGACTATTTTTTTTTATGGGTGAAAATGGTATGGTAACCCCGCCTGCGCTAACGGGAGACATTGGCGGAGCACCAGTGAAGGGTCATAGATGAGAATGAAAACAGGCCAGTTAGCCCATCATGATGAATTCATCAGGAATTAACCATGATAGTTTCCAGGGGGAACCGCGAGGAGGTCGACCTGGTTTGGTATATTGCTAGCAATAGGATTCTCAGTCTCCATTACTAACAATCCCTTTCCCCCCTCGCGTGACTATTACGAAGGGTTTTTTTTTAATGGATGATAATGATATGGTAAGCTCGCCTGCGCCATCGGCATACGCTGGCGAGACACCAGGGTAGGGTAGTAGGTAGGCTAGCAATATACTCAATCAGGTCGACCTCATCGCGGTTCTCCCTGGAGACTATCATAGTTAATTCCTGATGAATTCATCATAATGGGCTAATTGGCCTGTTTTCATTCTCATCTATCACCCTTCACTGGTGCTACGCCAGCGTATCCCGTTAGCGCAGGCGGGGTTACCATTCCATTTTCACCCATAAAAAAAAATCTCCCCATTGATAACAATCCCTTCTCGGGGGAAAAAGATTGTTAGAAATGATTTGGAACGGCCCTAATGCTAGCAATAGGGCCGTCGGTCGTCAGGTCGACCTCCAAGCGGTTCCCCTGGAAACCATCGTGATTAATTCTTGTCGAATTCACCTTCACTCTCATCTATCATTCCTCACTGGGGTCCAGTCACTGTATACCGATAGCGCAGGCGGGGTTACCATTCCATTTTCACCCATTAAAAAAGCAATCCCTTCCCCCCGGGATAGTAGGAATTAATAAATGACTAGATGGCAAATTAAAAAAATTGATCTAAACATGTGTAAATAATCACAATTATATCTGTACATAATAAATATATACATAAATATATAATATATAAGATAAGGTATTATTTTTTTGTCTGTCTTGTTTTTGTAAATGACTAATAATGATAAAACAGATATAGCCAATTTGTTTACTAAATATGCATTGTAATAGAAAAACAGTACTCAAGTGATATCTTATCTTGTTCTAAAAATATTTTAATTTTTATATTATTCTCTTTGTATATATATATATACAAAGAGAATAATATAAAAACATATTATATATGTAAAGAATATAAAAGTGAAAGATCTAGGTATAATTATAGATAGTTCCCTTACTTGGCGGCCACAAATAGAATCTGTCAGCAGGAAAGTTTTCGGATCTGTATGCTCACTTCGTAGACTGCGTAATTTCCTTCCTACTGCTACCAAAATTGCGCTATCCCAATCTCTTTTACTTCCAATTCTTGATTATGCCGATACTTGTTATCTGGATCTTACGGAAGACCAGCTTAACAAACTTGAGCGTCTTCAAAATGTTTTTATCAGGTTTATTTTCGGTCTTAGAAAATATGATCACATTTCCGAGTTTCGCACTAAGCTCAAGTGGCTTCCTATTCGTTTTTGCCGGAATACTCACATTCTTTCACTGCTCCACAATGCCCTTTTCAACTCTTCTTCCCCTCACTATCTGAAGGCGCGGTTTGAATTCCTGCATACCGTCAATTCTTTTAATCTTAGGTCTTCTGAGGGCCTCCAGCTGAAGACTCCGGTACATTTCTCTAATTTTTATGACAAATAATTTACGGTGCAAGCTGTACGGCTATGGAATGCTTTACCAGTTTCCTTACGAAATATAGAATGTATGGCTAGTTTTAAAACAAAACTTAAGGACTTTTATTTCAGCAAGTTGTCATCTTCTTAATATGTTTATATGTCTGGTTAGCATACTTATTACTTGCATACTTTTCGTGAACAATATTTATATATTTTTATGTATTTGTGTAGGCGTTTATATCCATGTATGTATATGTATGTATGTGTGTATGTATGTATATGTATTTGTATATGATAGATTTTGGTGATAGATTAAGAGGTACGCTGCTGTCTATTCCTCGAATAAGTTTTCTCAGTCGCCGCCTCTTACGACACCCATGAGAAAGGAAGTGGTGGCCCATTCTATGCCGGGACCACACGATGTTTAACATGTTGTCTATCGTTTGGCATTGGTGATGATGATATGACGACCCACATTAAAAAAAAAACCCTCATGTGCCACTAAAAGGTTATGTCTCTGTACTGTATGTTTTCAATTTTAGTTTATGGTGTATTTTTCTCATTGCAGACATATAGCGCCGGGAACGGCGTTGGTGCCGAGTCGTTTCGCTACTTTCGAACAGAGCACAGTGTGGGAGGACGAGCTAGGGAAGAACCCATGGCTCGCCAAGGAGGTAAGGATTAGCTTCGAAGCTAGAATAAAACGGAGCCCTTCGTTTTCCGTCCGTCAGTCTGTCAAGACCCTTTTTCTTAGGAACGCGTGGAGGTATCAAGTTGAAATTAATATATCATATACTCAGGTCTGCAATCTGTTAAAGTAGTAAAAAAATCAAGCTTATAAACCGACGCCATCAAAAGATACGGCCGTTGATGTTCCATTTATATCGCATATTTTGACATTCACAATGGGAATCAAAACCTATAGGGTACTTCCCGTTGATTTAGAATCATGAAATTTGCCAAGAAGCAATGTCATGTAGCAAAAGTGAAGGAAAAAATCCGAAAACCGTAAATATGTAGTTATTTCACAAAAAAAAATAATTAGTGGCTTTTGTACGGAACCCTCGTTGCGCGAGTCCAACTCGTACTTGACTGGCTTTTTTATTTTAGAGTTAGCTAACGGCCACTTGGACACGGATATCTGTTATATCTATTGATGAAACCCGCATTAAAATCAGTTGCGTAGTTTAAAAAAAATATGCGTACAGACAGCGGGAAGCGACTTTGTTTCATACTACGCGAACGCTCAGGCTGTAGAATGAGATCCCTGCTGAGGTTTTTCCCTGGAGACTACAGTATGGGGTTCTTCAAAAAGGTTTCTTCAGGATCGGCAACGCGCACATGACTCCCCTTTTTTTTGTTTAACGTGTGGAAAATCTTCAGCAAGTCCGTCCCATCTGCCGGAGGGAGGGCAGCTGGGGTGTGTGGGATTCGTGCCCACTAAAAACCACACGACGTACCTCGAGGCGCTTATGTTGGATACCGGGTTCCCGTTTGTACGACTACCGAGTATCCAACGCGACGGCCCGCCCTGTAGGTGGTGTAGGGCAGGCCTCCTCTCTTAGTTAGGGTGGGGAATGTCCCTCCCACCCTACCATCACAGGAGGGCACGGATACGTGCGCACACCTCCTAGGGTCATATGTAGGGTGTGCCTGCACGTGACACCCCTAGTGTTGCAGGCGTCCATAGCCATAGGCTAGTGATCGTTTACCATCAGACGGGCTGTATGCTTGTTTGCCAACTTCGTGGTTAAAAAAAAGAATGTAGAGAATTAAGATAAGCTATCTATGCCTAGTGAGGGACAATGAAAGTCTGAAATGATGTTGATTCATCATCTACTGTAACAACAATACATTGGTCGCGACAAACTGCGGAGTATTTCATATCCTGTATTTAATGTCTTAATCATTCTTCGCTGATGATCCAAATATTAATCCGGATTTTAATATTTCATAATGATAAGCAAACAATGAAAAATTTTAAATCAACCCTGACCAGTATGTGCGTCATCATAGATGATTTTTTTTTATGAGTGAAAATGGTATGGTAACCCCGCCTGCGCTAACGGGATACGCTGGCGGAGCACCAGTGAAGGGTGATAGATGAGAATGAAAACAGGCCAGTTAGCCCATCATGATGAATTCATCAGGAATTGACCATGATAGTTTCCAGGGAGAACCGCGACTAGGTCGACCTGGTTGGGTATATTGCTAACAATGGTGCTATTAGACCTCATTACTACAATCCCTCTCTACCCCCCCCCCCCCTCCCACCCTCTAAATGGCACTATTAACATCCATTCTATTTAATTACAGCAACTAGTAGTGAAGCCCGACCAGCTGATCAAGCGGCGCGGCAAGCTGGGCCTCGTTGGGGTGAACAAGACGGCGGCTGAAGTGCGCAAGTGGCTCAGCGAGTACATGGGCCGCGAGCAGCAGGTCGGCGCCGCTGTTGGCAAACTGAGGCACTTCATAGTGGAGCCGTTCGTCAAACACGACCAGGTGACTATCAGCATCATCATTAGAACAGCCTTTAGGTGTCCACTGCTGGACATAAGCCTCCCCTTTGGAAGGTCTAGCCAGTAGTTGCGGCATTTGGCAGGCGGCTTGGCAACCGCAGTTAGGCTTTATTGTTATGTTATTGTGTAAGTTCTCTGCTTTGATTATTATTATTATTACTGTCCGCTGCTGAACATTTGCTGCTTGCTGCGCTTTGCCAGCAGTTGCTTCTCTTGGCATGCTGGTTGACAACTGTAGTTAAGCTTTAGAGATGTTTTAAGAAGGACGCTGCTGCCCATCCCTCGCCTTCCCCTTTTTTGTACAATACAGGGGGCAAACGAGCATGCATCTCACCTGATGGTAAGTGACTACTGCCGCCCATGATCACCCACAACACCAGCGGCATTGCAGGTGTGCCGCCGGCCTTTTAAATCGCGTAAATCCCCTAATCGCGTCTTACGACACCCACGGGAAAGGAAGAAGTGATCTATGAGAATAGGTATAGAATTCTTAGAATAGTAGAATTAGAATCTACGCCGGGACCACACGGCCAGGGACACAGAGGCACAGGGACAATGTGGCTATAATTAGGTTATGTTTTTACTTCCTTTCCCGTGGGTATCATAAGAGGCGACTAAGATAATGGTAGAGGGATGGGCAGCAGCGTCCTTAAGACATCTCTAAAAGCCTAACTGCGGTTGCCAGGGGGGAAAGGGATTGTTAGTAATGGAGACTAAGAATCCCATTGCTAGCGATATACCCAACCAGGTCGACCTCCTCGCGGTCCACTGTAAACTATCATGCTTAATTCCTGATGAATTCATCATGATGGGCTAACTGGCCTGTTTTCATTCTCATCAATCACCCTTCACTGGTGCTCCGCCAGTGTATCCCGTTAGCGCAGGCGGGGTTGCCATTCCATTTTCACCCATCAAAAAAAAAAAACTGCGGTTGCCAACCCGCCTACCCAACGTGGCAAGTGGCAACTATTGGCAAAACTCTCTACATTATTTTTTAGACAGATTCGCGATCCTAGTTAGTTGCTCGGATAAAATAAAAAAATGAGCATGAACTTTTTTTTTTGAAAGACTGTTTAGTCGGTAGTCTCTTAATGGTATCAGGGAGCGCGTTCCAGAGTCGTGAAGAATGTAGGAGAAAAGAATTTGAAGCGAAACCAGTACGGTGAGAGTGTTCCATTCGTGTTTCAACCGTGTAGCAGTTATGTTTGCATGGCTGTGTTTCGGTTTGAAGGGTGGGATAAAGCGTGAATTTACTAGGTACAGAGGAATATCACCTGAGTCCTCAGGAATGGCAACGCATGGGGGGTATCATGGGCGAAACAGTATACTCTGTTGTGTCTATAGTACTGCTCATGTCTATAGGCGACTGTTACCACTTTCCATCAGATGGGCCGTCAGCTTGTTTGCCATTCTAAGTAGTATAAAAAAAAAGGAGATAGATAGTTGCAGAGTATTACTAGAACGAAGGTTACGATCGTTTACGTCTAGTTTCAAAAAGGTACTGGAATTTGCTGCTTAAGTAGTTAGGAGACTGGGGGTTTCGAAAAAGAGTAAAGAGGGTACAAAGAGTCCTAACGTTTCTGCGTTAATGAATGGGAAGCCAATTGGAATCTATCTCCTTTTATTACGTAGACTAAAATTTTATTTTGTTTTAAATTAATTTTATAATGATGTTCTTTTATTTCCTACCAGAATGAGGAGATGTACCTGTGTATCCAATCAGGACGGCGCTCGGACACCATACTGTTCCACCACCAGGGCGGTGTCGACGTGGGAGATGTGGACGCGCTCGCCGTCAGGCTAGAGGTCGCTCTCTCTGTCTCACTATTTCTTTCTCTCTCTCTCTCACACACACACACACGTACACACAAATACACAGATGCCAATTTTTTTTTTAAAATGGATGTAAAAGACAGGTAACTCTGTTTGCGTACTATCGGTATACGCCAGAGAGGTACCAGTGAATGAGGATAGGTGAGGATGAGGTCAGGTCAGTTCAAAGGAATTAACCTCGACTCTTGGGGGAAAGGGATTGTTAGTAATATGGATAAATAGTCCCATTGCTAGTGTGCTAATCACGTGGTTCCCCCATGGAAACCATTGTGGTTAATCCAAGTGGAATTCGTCACGATGGGCTAACTGACCTGCTTTCATCGTCACCTATCAGCTCTTACTGGTGCCCCGCCAGCGTATACCGATAGCGCAGGCGGAGTACCATTCCATTATCACCTAATACAAAAAAAACCTCGACTGTTTGTAGAAGAACCACGTGGAGATCAATCTCACACGGTACAGTGTCTCATACACGCACGCCCACACATCCACGCACGCACGCACGAAGGCACGCACGCACACGCACAGTCGAATTGAACTGAACTCACAAAAATAATTAAATTAAATTATAAAGGAAACTGTTGTTATATATATTTTGCTTTTTGTTTTTTTTTTTTGTTGCTTTTTTTTTGTTTTTCATTCTTTTATCTCCTTTTACTGTATATGTCTGTATTATATGTAAGTTTGTATTATTATTTGTGTGCTGTAGGTAATGCAAATAAATTATCTATGTATAATATATAGAACTAACTCCTTGGTGTTGCTGATACGCAGGTCCCTGTGGACACATTCCCGTCCGGCGAGGAGATCGATCAGGTTCTCCTCAAGAATGTCAAGTCACAAACGGTCAGAAGGTCAGTCGGTTATCTTTGACTCGAGTCATTAGTTGCTAGCTAGCTAAATAAATAAAATAAATCTATACTTATAATAAATCTGTAGAGAGGTCAATTCTGTACATGAAATATATTTCCAAAATAACTATCAGCGGGTGATTAGTGATCGATACTGATGCCAAAAATGCAATCAGTAAAATTTTTGTCTATCTATCTGTATGTTCGTTATAGAAACAAAAACTACTCGACGGATTTTAACGAAACTTGGAACAATTATTCCTTATAATCCTGGGCAGGTTATAGTATACTTTTCATCACGCTACGATCAATAGGAGCAGAGCAGTGAAGAGAAATGTTAAAAATGTCCATTCGTGCGACGCCGGGACGGGCCGCTAGTTATTAAATATTTTGTTGATTACATTAAAGTTTTTATAATTCATTGTAATAAATTGAATTGACATAAATTGTTATTATTAAAAAAAAATAATTAAAATTAAAGGGTTTTGTGATAATATTTGTATGTCAAAAGACAGTAAAACATAGCGCTTTCAACATTATATAATATCAAATTTATAATTAAAAAAAAAAGTCGTTTGCGTGACCACCTCTGTCCCATTCGTGTTTTTTTTTTTTTAAAATGGATGATAATGGAATGGTAACCCCACCCGCGCTATCGGTATACACCGGCGGGGCACCAGTGAGAGATGATAGGTGAGGATGAAGCAGGTCAGTTAGCCCATCGTGACGAATTCAACAAGAATTGTTCACGATGGTTTCCAGGGGGACCCACGTGGAGGTCGACCTAATAAGGTATATTGCTAGCAATGGGGCTGTCAAACTCCATTGCTAACAATCCTTTTCCCTCCGCCCCATTCGTGTTTCTACCGTGAAGCAGTTGTGTTCGCATGGCTGTGTTTCGGCTTGAAGGGTGGGATATGGCAGTGAATGTATAGGGTACAGAGGAATAACACCTGAGCCTCAGGAATGGCAACGCATGGGGGGGGGGGGGGTATCATGAGCGAAATAGTATATTCTGTTATGTCCATGGTACTGCTCATGTCTATAGTCGACGGTTACCACTTTCCATCAGGTGGGCCGTCAGCTTGTTTGCCACTCTAAGTCGTATACAAAAAAAAATACCCTAAACAAAGCAAGAACGATTGCTTAGCGATAGATATACGAATGGAACAGAGGCACTTATACGTTTAACCAATTACTATGGATTGGTCATTTGTTTACAATTATTTTGTTTAATTCTGCCACCATTAGTATGTGTGCGACTGCCAACACTCGAAGACTGACCACCGCTATTACTAGCAGAAGTTCCGCGACCTTCCATATTAGCCGTCAATCTAATATGGAAGGTTGTGAGACTTCTGGCAGTAATAGCGGTGGTCAGTCTTCGAGTGTTGGCAGTCGCACACATACTAACAGTAGCGGAATTAAACAAAATAATTCTAAACAAATAACCAGTTGTATTTCCCGTGTGGTCCCGGCATAGAATAGGCCACCCCTTCCTTTTCCGTGGGTGTCATAAGAGGCGACTAAGGGACGAGGGATGGGTAGCAGCGTCCCTCTTAAAACATTTCCAAAGCCTAACTGCGGTTGCTAATTCGCCCGCCCAAGCATGATAAGTACTCTCGAAACTCCCCAAGGGGGAAGGCTTATGTTCAGCAGTGGACAGTTAAAGGCTGATATGGTGATGATAGGAAACCAGTGATATGGACTTCCGCGAGATAACACCTAGTTTAGTAACAGACTATCAATCTTTTATATTTCTTCTCTTCCAGGATACTGACCCTGTTCATCCATTCACTGTACCGTGTATATGTGGACCTGTACTTCACGTATATGGAAATAAACCCCATAGTGGTCACCAACGAGCGCATCTACCTCCTGGACCTGGCGGCCAAGCTCGACCAGACGGCCGACTTCATCTGTGCGAAGAGTTGGGGAGAGGTGGTGTTCCCCCCGCCGTTCGGACGGGACGCGTACCCCGAGGAGGCGCATATCGCTGATCTGGACGCGAAGAGTGGGGCCAGTTTGAAGGTTAGTGATGTTCTGGAAGGCAATAGCCTCGGTCAACCACGATACCAGAGGGAGACTTTGTACAGAAGTCGATTGCTTTGGTACCTCTGTCCCATACGTGTTTCAACCGTGAAGCAGTTGTGTCTGCATGGCTGTGTTTCGGTTTGAAGGGTGGGATATGGCGTGAATTTACAGGGTACAGAGGAATAACACCTGAGTCCTCAGGAATGGCAACCCATGGGGGGTATCATGGGCGAAACAGTATACTCTGTTATGTACATGGTACTGCTCGTGTCTATAGGCTACGGTTATCACTTTCCATCAGGTGGGCCGTCAGCTCGTTTGCCATTCTAAGTTGTATAAAAAAAAATACCACTGAGGTGACAAACAAGCCTTTGGCCCAACTGGTGGGTTACTTTTGGAATAAATCCCAATAGATCGATATTGAAATTGTGACTTCACACTCTCGAATCGCAACACTAGCGACATAATGGCTCCATATTGTTCTGATAGATGCATATTAGTGCAACTTGTCGATGCAAACCATTGTAAACCGATCCCAGTTATAAGCTAATTCCTAACTGTTGTTACACGAGTGCAGTATAGAATTGTCATTGGCAATAGACTGGATTGATATTGGTATCAGATTCAAGAGTAGACCTGCTGATTGTAAATGGTAAATATAGCTGTATAAGAATATTTTTTGCCTATTTTGTCATAACTTTATAATTTTTGTTATAAGATAGATAGATAATCTTTATTACCAGTAATAAAAATAAAAAAAAAAACAACAATAAACAGAAAAAAAAAACAATGTTGCTGGTTGCTGGAGCCGCCTCAGCTGTTGCTATATATGTACAGCTCCAGCGAGATGTACCTATATAGCGCTGATTTACAGGCGACCCCTTAACTCCTTTACCTTTAGCATGCGTGCGGGTCGCCAGTACCTATTAACAGTTGATGTTACTTTTTTTTTTATGGATGATAATGGAATGGTAACCCCGCCTGCGCTAACTGTATACGCTGGCGGGGCACCAGTGAGGAATGATAGGTGAGATGAAAGGGCAGGTAAGTTAGCCCACCGTGATGAATACACCTGGAATTCAGTACGACGGTTTCCAGGTGGGACCACGTGGAGGTAGACCTGATAGGGTATACTGCTAATACTGGGACTGGTAGTCCACGTTACTAACAATCCCTTTCCCCCCAGTTGACGGTGCTGAACAAGTCCGGCCGTATATGGACGATGGTGGCGGGCGGCGGCGCGTCCGTGGTGTACACGGACACGGTGTGCGAGCTAGGGGGCGCTGCGGAGCTCGCCAACTACGGCGAGTACTCGGGCGCGCCCACCGAGACGCAGACCGCCGACTACGCCAAGACCATCTTCAGCCTCATGTGCCGGGAGAAGCATCCCAACGGGAAGGTACGTCTCCTATACTTCTACTAGCTCTGTACCGCGAAATCGTTCCTTTAAATCGGTAATTTAAGTATCCTATATGTTAAGTTAGGATATAACCTCGGGGAGGTTACTAAATTTCATCCAAATCGCCCCATAAGAGGTGGTTTTGCCAGTAGTTTTTTTTTTTACAACACAGGGGCAAACGAGCATGTGTCTCACCTGATTGTAAATGACTACCGCAGCCCATGATCACCCACAACACCAACGGAGGGAGACTTTGTACAAAATTCGATTGCTTGGGTACCTCTGTCCCATTCGTGTTTCTACCGTGAAGCAGTAGTGGTTGCATGGCTGTGTTTCGGTTTGAAGGGTGGGATATGGCGTGAATTTACTGGGTACAGAGGAATAACACCTGACTCCTCAGGAATGGCAACGCATGGGTGGTATCATGGGCGAAACAGTATACTCTGTTATGTCCATGTTACTACTCATGTGTATAGGCGACGGTTACCACTTTCCATCAGGTGGGCCGTCAGCTTGTTTGCCATTCTAAGTTGTATAAAAAAAATCTCTCTACCATTAAGATCCCATAGTCGCCTCTTACGACACCTACGGGAAAGGAAGGGGTTTTTTATTTTTTATTTAATAGGTGTTAATGAAATAGTAACCTCTCTTACACTATCGGTATATGCTGACGGGGCACCAGTGAGAGATGACAGGTGATGATAAAGGCAGGTCAGTTAGCCCATCGTGACGAATTCAACAGGAATTAACCACGATAGTTTCCAGGAGGAATCGCTTGGAGGTGGACCTGTTAGGATGTATTACTAGTAAAAGGACAGTTAGACGTTAGAATTACTAGCAATCCCTTACTCCTTCGGAAAGGAAGGGTTGGCCTATTCCATGCCGGGATCTACAGGACTTGATAAAATTAATTGACAGGTGCTAATCATCGGCGGTGGCATCGCCAACTTCACAAATGTCGCGGACACGTTCCGCGGCATCATCACCGCCATAGAGACGTACAAGGACGCCCTCTTGCAGTACAACGTGACGATATTCGTAAGGAGGGGCGGGCCTAACTACCAGGAGGGGCTCAGGTTGGTAACTGAAAGTTTAATACTTTTTTTTTTAATGGATGATAATGGCATGGTAACCCCGCCTGCGCTGTCGGTGTACGCTGGTGGGGCACCAGTGAGAGATGATAGGTGAGGATGAAAAGGCATATCTGTTTGCCCATCGTGACGACTTCACCTGGAATACAGCACGATGGTTTTAAGAGGGGGAGCATTTAGAGGTCGGCCTAGGTACCATATTGCTAGCAATGCGACTGGTAGTCCATATTACTAACAATCATTGCCACCACCCGACCGTTTATACTGTTTGTGATATTTTTTTTACCACAACCAGAGACGTGGGTTACTAATTGTGGTAAAAATGCCATCAAAATTGTCATAAAAGGGGCACGGGTTGGTTAACTTACATTTATACTGTTTGTGGTATATTTTTGTCACAATCAGTAATGTAAGTTACCAGTCGTGGTAAAAAGTGTCAATTAAAATGTCGTATAAGGGACTTGGCCGTTTTATGCATCTTAGAATGGCAAACAAGCTGACGCCCCCCTGATGGAAAGTGGTAACCATCGCCTATAGACGTGAGCAGTACCATGGACATTACAGAGTGTACTGTTTCGCCCATTATACCCCCATGCGTTGCCATTCCTGAGGACTCAGGTGTTATTCGTGTGTGCCCTGTAAATTCACTGCCATATCCTACCCTTCAAACCGAAACACAGCCATGCAAACACAACTGCTTCACGTTTGAAACGCGAATGGTACACAGGTGCTTAAGCAGAAGACTTTTGTACACAGCCTCTCTCTGCTACTTATTTACCACGCGTGGTTTCTGGGGTCAAGTTTTACTGAATAAATTTCATATCATGCATTTTAAACGCGCTCATTCTAAACCTCTACAGACAAATGCGCGAAGTGGGCCAGCGTCTACGCATCCCACTGTACGTGTTCGGGCCAGAGACCAACATGACGGCGATCGTTGGCCTCGCGCTCGGCCACTCGCCCATACCCAAAGAACACCAGCTCGACTACGCGCCCAAGCAGTTGCCCAAGCCGCAACCTCACGTGAGTACCCACAGTGTCGTGTCAATTCAACACGTTATGGGCCCATGAAACGACAATTCAATACGTTATGGGCCCAAAAAAAATACTCTCGTTTAGATGAGAAAAGACATTTAATAATAATAATAATAATTTATTTGCCAAAATATATTATTATTAAAGGTAAAAAGATATACAAGGCAAATAGAATACAAACAAACAAAATAAACATACACATATTGTAAACTAGCGGCCCGTCCCGGCGTCGCACGGGTGGACGTTTTTACATTTTAAAAAGTGACCATTAAGGCTGTACACGCGACGGAGGCTTTAAAATGAAGTAACTTCTCCCGTTTTTCCAACATTTCCCTTCACTGCTCTGCTCCTATTGATCGTAGCGTGATGAAAAGTATACTATAACCTGCCCAGGAGTATGAACAATAATTGTACCAAGTTTCGTTAAAATGCGTCGAGTAGTTTTTGTTTCTATAACGAACATACAGACAGACAGACAAAAATTTTACTGATTGCATTTTTGGCATCAGTATCGATCACTAATCACCCGCTGATAGTTATTTTGTAAATATATTTCATGTACAGAATTGACCTCTCTACAGATTTATTATAAGTACAGATTGTGTCCATTTAATTCCAGCCCAAACCCAAACTGGAGATACCCGAGTTAACTCACAAGCTGTTGGATCTGGTGTGTTCACAAGCGCCCACAAAGATGGACCTCGGACAGCAAATGTCGACAGGGAAGCCACTTTTCTCGGATCGCACCAAGGCGATCATATGGGGCATGCAAAACAGAGCTATACAGGTAAGTCATATCTATACGCTATAGTATAGATTTTCACGCTACTTTATTTATTTATTTATTTATTCATTAGTACAAATATATGTTTTTTTTATACAACTTAGAATGGCAAACAAGCTGACGGCCCACCTGATGTAAAGTGTTAACCGTCGCCTATAGACACGAGCAGTACCATGGGCATAACAGAGTATACTGTTTCACCCATGATACCCCCCATGCGTTGCCATTCCTGAGGGCTCAGGTGTTATACCTCTGTACCCAGTAAATTCACGCCATATCCCACCCTTCAAACCGAAACACAGCCATGCAAACACAACTGCTTCACGGTAGAAACACGAATGGGACAAAGGTGGCCAAGCAAACGACTTTTGTACAAAGTCTCCCTCTGGTATGATACATATAATAATGTAAAATATATATCCCTACTCATAAATATTTACTTTTAGTATGCTTGCATCTGGTAACACTCGAAGATTGATCACCACTATGTTAAATTTCCAGGGTATGCTCGACTTCGACTATATATGTCGACGGTCGGAGCCGTCGGTAGTGGCGATCGTGTACCCGTTCACCGCCGACCACAAGCAGAAGTACTACTTCGGCAACAAGGAAGTCTTTATACCAGGTTGGTACCATCATTGTCATATCAGGCTTCAGCTGTCCACTGCCTTTCCCATAAGTGGAGGTTTGCTAGTAATTGCCACGCTTGGCAGGCGGAATGGCAACCGCAGTTAGGCTTTGGAGGTATTTTTTTTAATGGGTGATAATAGAATGGTAACCCCACCTGCGCTATCGGTATACACTGGCAGAGAGATGATAGGTGAGGACGAAGCAGATCAGTTAGCCCATCGTGACGAATTCAACAAGAATTGTTCACGATGGTTTCCTGGGGGAACCACGTGGAGGTTGACCTGATAGGGCATATTGCTAGCAATGGACCTGTCAAACTCCATTGCTAACAATCCCTTCCACCCGACAACTGCAGTTAGGCTTTGGTGATGTTTTAATAGGGACGCTGCTGCCCATCCCTCGCCCTCCCTTAGTCGACACTTACGACACCCACGGGGAAAGGGGTAGTCTGTTCTACACCAGGACAGCATGGCGAGTAATATATACGCATAAATACATAATAACATGTACGCGTGTTGCAGTGTTCTCCGACATGGACGTGGCCATGCGCAAGCACCAGGAGGCGACGGTGCTCGTCAACTTTGCCTCGCTGCGCTCCGCCTACGACTCCACGCTGCAGGTAATCGCCTTCATTCTTTAATGGGTAATAATTTATTTATTTATTTATTTACTTATTTGTTTAGATAGATAGATAGATACTCTTTATTGTTTCCTCCAAAAGATTACAATAGTAAACTTATTATAAATATAAATAATTACAAGAAATAATCACAATGAGAGAACAATGGGCGACCTTATCGCTAAGAGCGATCTCTTCCAGCCAACCTTTGGATGGAGAGGAGTAATTATAAATTTACTTTTTTTTTTTTTATACCACTGAGGTGGCAAACAAGCATACGGTCCACCAGATGGTAAGCGGTTACCGTAGCCTATGAACGCCTGCAATATCTGAGGTATTACGCGCGCGTTGCCAACCATGAAGAAACCTCTTTACCCCCCTTTTGAGGAATTGTTTAGTTATTTTTTTTATTTACTTATTTATTTGGCCCACGTGCCCAGGACCCAGTATTATGCTATGGCAGTTTATCTACTGCCACAGCGCTGTTATTCTATGCAAGATACACAGTGATGGAACGGTAACCCCGCTGGTGGGAAACCAGTGAGTGGTGATAAGTGAGCACGAAGTCAGAGGGCTTACCATGAAATGTTTTCCGAAATTTCGGAGCCAAACGAAACGGAAATTTGATGTTAAAATTACATAATACATGTCGTTTGGAAATATTAAAAATGTTAAAATATTGTTCCTTTGGACTTTTATGATAGGATGTATGACGAACTAAATGTTAAACTCCATTTATTGGTCCGATTTTGGTATAAACAAAAACACGAAATTGAGTCCGAAATTTCGGGATTTCATTTCGTGGTACACCCGCTGGTCAGATCAGGCCCATCGTGACTAATTGATTATTTTAAGAGATCTCTTCCAGACAATCCAATGCAGGTGGAGAGAAAATAATATTTTTTTATATCTCTCGTTTAAACAGGCGATGCAGCACCCACAGATCAACACAGTGGTGATCATAGCCGAAGGCATACCTGAGAACATGACGAGGAAGCTCATCAAGTTGGCAGACGCCAGAGGGGTGAGTGGTTTTTTTTTATATGCAATCATCATTAACATCATCTTGTCAGCTTAACTGTTAATTGTCCACTGCTGGACATAGCTCTTCCCCATGAAGGGGGGTGAATGTGAAAGAGACTCCATTTTCCGCGCTTAGCCTCTCATTTGGGCCGTTGTGCGTATGAGTCGTGGCTAGTACAGCCAACCTAGCTCCGCCCAGAAGCGCAGAAGCTTCCTGGGTTCTTCACAGGCCTCACACAACACAGCCATGCAAACACAACTGCTTCACGGTTGAAACACGAATGGGACAGAGGTATCCAAGCAATCGACTTTTGTACAAAGTCTCCCTCTGGTGAACAGAACAGAACAGAACAGCTCCTCTTCTCTGGTATTATTTTAATTTTATTTTATCCTAAATACCTCATGTGTAAATTTAGGTTTTTTTGTGAGCAAACATGAATAAATATATTAGATAAATAGATAGATAGATAGATAACCTTTATTACCAGTATTAAGAAAATAAAAAATAAAAACAACAAAAAGAAAAAAAAAACAATTAATGTTGCTGGTTGCTGGAGCCGCCTCAGCTGTTGCTATATATGTCCAGCTCCAGCGAGATGTACCTATATAGCGCTGATTTACAGGCGACCCCTTAACTGCTTTACCTTTATTATTATATACATTCGGCAGGTGAACATAATCGGGCCGGCGACGGTGGGCGGCATCAAGCCGGGCTGCTTTAAGATCGGCAACACGGCCGGCATGATCGACAACATTGTCGAGAGCAAACTGTACAGGCCCGGCAGGTACGTGTCATGCTTCACACCACCTGTTCCCATTAATTTTACATGGTACTTTTTCTGAATTCACTAGTGAAGAATGATAGGTGAGCATGTGATGAATGTGCATGGAATTCTGCACGGTGGTTTCCAGGATCGCAAGGTGGATCTGATAAGACTATTGGTAGGGATTTAGCTACCAATTGGGGAGTTATACTCTATCGTTGATAATTCCTTTCTCTCCTTTCTATCAATATTTTTTTTTATACAACTTAGAATGGCAAACAAGTTGACGGCCCACCTGATGGAAAGTGGTAACCGTCGCCTATAGACACGAGCAGAGCCGTGGACGTAATAGAGTATACTGTTCGCCCATGATACTCTTCACACGTTGCCATTCCTGAGGACTCAGGATTACAATCTTAAATTGTTACAAACTTTCATAATTATGCCTCTGAATAAAGTGGTTAAAAAAATAAATTTGAAATCTATTAACCCACTTGCTGGCTTCCGATTATGTTGATATTTGACATACTATATGTACATATACAAAAGTCGATTGCTTGGGTACCTCTGTCCCATTCGTGTTTCAACCGTGTGTGAAGCAGTTGTGTTTGCATGGCTGTGTTTCGGTTTGAAGGGTGGGATATGGCGTGAATTTACTGGTACAGAGGAATAACACCTGAGTCCTCAGGAATGGCAACGCATGCATATATATATATATATATATATATATATATATATATATATATATATATATATATATATATATATATATATATATATATATTGCAGTACCCAATCCTAGTATTGATGTAACTTTTTTACTTTTTCATTTAGTGTTCTAATATAGACTTTTTTTTTTATTATTTTTTTTTATTTTAACAGCGTGGCGTACGTGTCGCGTTCGGGTGGTATGAGCAACGAGTTAAACAACATACTGTCCAAGCATGCGGACGGCGTGTGCGAGGGGGTCGCCATCGGCGGCGACAGGTACCCGGGGACGACCTTCATCGACCATCTACTCAGGTAATCACCACGGATCTATGTCTTATTGTATTAACATAAAAATATTCAACAAAATTAATATTTTTGTAAATCCTTAGAATGAATATATATAAATAAATATATGTTCGTTTTTTTTAAGCAACTTAGAATGGCAAACAAGCTGACGGCCCACCTGATGGTAAGTGGTAACCGTTGCCGATAAATATGGACAGTTCTGTGAAGTGTCCACTGCTGAATGTAGACCGCCCCTTTGAGGAGGGGGGGACAGTAGTTGTCACGTTTGGCAGCTTGGCAACCGTAGTTAGATGTTGGTGATGGTTTATAAGGGGCTTTGCTGCCTATTATTTGACCATTAAATTTCCTTAGCCGCCTCTTACGACACCCACTGGAAAAGGAAGGGATGGCCTATTCTGTTTTTTTTATACAACTTAGAATATACCCCCCACGCGTTGCCATTCCTGAGGACTCAAGTGTTATTCCTCTGTATCCAGTAAATTCACGCCATATCCCACCCTTCAAACAGAAACACAGCCATGCAAACACAGCTGCTTCACGGTTGAAACACGAATGGGACAGAGGTACCCAAGCAATCGACTTTTGTACAAAGTCTCCCTCCACACTGCGATTGGTGTAATCATGTGGCACTATTCGTTAAAGATGAATAAATTTCTTTTTTTCCTGTTTATACCATAATTGTAATTGTTTGTATCTATAATAAGTTTATTATTGTACTCTTATGGAGGGAACAATAAAGAGTATCTATCTATCTATCTATCAGAGGGAGAGTTTGTACAAAAGTCGTTTGCTTGGGTACCTCTGTCCCATTCGTGTTTCTATCGTGAAACAGTTGTGTTTGCATGGCTGTGTTTCGGTTTAAAGGGTGGGATATGGCTGTGAATTTACAGGGTACAAAGGAATAACACCTGAGTGCACAGGAATGGCAACGCATGGGGGGTATCGTGGGCGAAACAGTATACTCTGTTATGTCCATGGTACTGCTCATGTGTATAGGCGACGGTTACCACTTTCCATCAGGTGGGCCGTCAGCTTGTTTGCCATTCTAAGTTGTATGAACAATCTATCTATCTATATATAATTGTGCAGATTCGAAGCGGACCCGGCGGTGAAGATGCTAGTGCTGCTGGGCGAGGTGGGCGGCGTGGAGGAGTACCACGTGTGCCGCGCCATCCGCGACGGACTCATCACCAAGCCCATGGTCGCCTGGTGCATCGGCACCTGCTCAGGTTGGCAGCCACTTTGTTTATATTGGTGATCTTGCTAGGGTACTTGGTGATTACCGTGGAATTCATTTGGTACTAAATCTGTCATAATCTTTATCACCAAACCTTCGTCTTTTTTTTTTAAATGGATTATAATGGAGTGGACGGGGCACCAGTGGGGGATGATAGGTGAGAATGAAAACACAGGTCAGTTAGCCCATCGTGATGAATACATATGGAATTCATCACGATGGGCTAACTGGCCTGTTTTCATTCTCATCTATCACCCTTCACTGGTGCTCCGCCAGCGTATCCCGTTAGCGCGGGCGGGGTAATAATTCCATTTTCACACATTTATCCCCCTTTTGAAGAACCCCATGCTGTAGTCCATTGGAAAAACATAAACAGGGAGCTCATTTAATAACATTTCATGGGAGAAAATATCAGTTAATGACAATATTCCTCCACAGACATGTTCACGTCGGAAGTACAGTTCGGTCACGCGGGTTCGCTCGCGGGCTCTGCCCTCGAGAAGGCGGTCGCGAAGAACGCCGGCCTCCAGGCGTACGGCGTCACGGTGCCGGAGTCGTTCGACGGGCTCGGCGACGCCGTCAACAAGGTGTACAAGAGTCTGGTCAATGCGGGCAAGATCATCGTGAAGGAGGAGGTGGAGCCGCCCAAGGTGCCCATGGACTACGATTGGGCGAGGGTGAGTTTGTAAAATTAAAAATTCTCAGGTTGCAAATTTTTTTTTTTTAAATCTTATAACAAGATCCGTTTTGTTAGTAACAAACTTTAAATTGTTAGTAAAAAAAAATCATATTTTGTTTTTTCCAGTAATGTATTATTATTAAAGTTGATTGATTATTAGTCAGTTGTAATTTAGCAATTTATAACTGAATTAGCACCCTTATAAGTTAACCATTTGAAATAAGCAACTTATAAATTGGCGACATATAAATTAGCAACTTATAAATAGGCGATTTATAAATTAGCAACTTGCAAACCGAAACACAGCCATGCAAACACAACAAGCAGTTGTGTTTGCATGGCTGTGTTTCGGTTTGAAGGGTGGGACATGGCGTGAATTTACTGGGTACAGAGGAATAACACCTGAGTCCTCAGGAATGGCAACGCATGGGGGATATCATGGGCGAAACAGTATACTCTGTTATGTCCATGGTACTGCTCATGTCTATAGGCGACGGTTACCACTTTCCATCAGGTGGGCCGTCAGCTTGTTTGCCATTCTAAGTTCTATAAAAAAAAAAAAAAAACTTTGAAATGGCAACTTATAAATTTGCAACCTTCTAAGTTAGCATTTTTTAAATGGCAAGTTATGAATTAGTAACTTGTAAGTTGGCAATATGAAAATTAACAATTTGTAAATTAGTAACCTTATAAGATAGTAACTTTGAAATTGGCAACTTATAAGTCAAGAAAGTAAGCAGCTGTTTTTTAACCAATTTGGAATAGCAAACCAACTGATGACTTACCTGATGGAAAGTAATATGAGCACCAGGAGTACATTGTGACCCTTGTGAATACTTTTCAAACCATTTTTAGGACCATGGTGTTATACCTTTGTACCTTACAATTTCACTGCCATATCTCACCCTTCAAAACAGGAGCGAGGAATTGTTAATAATGCAGATTACCAGTACCATTTCTAGCAATACACCCTGTCAGGTCAACCTCCATGTTATCCCCCTGGAAACCATTATCCTGAATCCCAGGTGTATTCATCACGATGGACTTACTGACCTGTCTTTTCATCGTCACCTATCATCCCTCACTGGTGCCCCGCCGGTGTATACTGTTAGCACAGGCGAGGTTACCATTCCATAACCCTTCAAACCGAAACAACCATGCAAGTATAGGTGCTTCGTGCGCTTTCAGTATGCTCTATAAACGGTATGTCGACAGAAACTGGGCATCATTAGGAAACCTGCGGCGTTCATCAGCACCATCTGTGACGAGCGCGGCCAGGAGCTGAGCTACTGCGGCGTGCCCATCAGCCAGGTGCTCGAGCGGCAGCTCGGCGTCGGCGGTGTCATCAGTCTGCTCTGGTCAGTGGGGGAACAAACACTATGTTTATATATATATTTATTTATTTATTTAAACTTTAACGCACAGTAAAATTCTGTGTACATATGGCGGACTTTACATCGGACGGTTTTCTCTACCAGTCGACCATTGGACAAACAGAGAAATACGTAGCCGGTGCATTTTTGAATAATATTTTTATATATACATATTTATAGCACTTAGAATATCGATCTATCTTTTAATGAATGATAATGGAATGGTAACCCCGCCTGCGCTATCGGTATACACTGGCGGGGCACCAGTGAGGGATGATAGGTGAGGATGAAAAGGCAGGTCAGTAAGCTCATCGTGATGAATTCAACGATAAATTAGTCACGATGGTTTCCAGGGAGGACCACGTGGAGGTCGACCTGATAGGATGTATTGACAGTAATAAGGACTAACCTCCGCATTACTAACCCTTCCTCCCACTAATCCCTTTCTCCCGAAGTATAAGTAAATTAAAGTGGCAATGAGTTGGTCACATGACTTGAACAACCGACAACCGATGGGGAAGAAAAGTTCTTGAATGACGACCCCGCACGGGCAAACGCTGACCCTCCACTAGATGGGGTGACGACCTCAAATGCATACTCTCAAATGTATTTCAACAATCAACACCTGATCTCATGAACACAGATTTCATTTCAGAAGTAAAATATTAAGTTAAAGAAGAAGCAATTAGTATTCATATTTTTTTTTATGTAAACTATTTATTTATTTATTTTGAGAGAGAGAGACAAAACAATCCAGTAACTGAAATAGGTTTGTGACAGGATTGTCGTTTATATAAATAAGGAGGTAAGTTAGAACATAGAATACTTTATATCCCAACGTGGGGCCCACGCCACATAGGGGCAATTAAAAAATGGACTTGAAGCGATTTTAACTCTCTTGCTCCAGGCCATTTAAATGTAATGCTACAAGTAGATATCGGTGGCAAATTTAACATAAAAGTAAATTAAAAAAAAAATGCTTTAAATATTTATTAGGTATAATTTCGTTTGACGTTACCAAAATATCAATTGGGCGATTAGAGTCGTCAAGTAAACTTTGCCGGGAACAATTATGTATGGGGGCATAAAAATTTTAGAATTGTTTAAGTGGGGCATGGCACAAAAAGGTTGGGAAACACTGTTTTATATGCTGATTCACGCGGGTGAAGCTGCGGGATAGAGCTAGACCTAGTAAAGTATAAATAAATAAATAAAGCCTAGATGTTTCCGTGTGGTGCAGGTTCCAGCGCGAGCTGCCCGAGTGGGCGTGCAAGTTCTTCGAGCTGGTGCTTATAGTGACGGCGGACCACGGGCCGGCCGTCTCCGGCGCACACAACACCATGGTCACTGCTAGGGCCGGCAAGGACCTCATCTCCTCCGTCGTCAGCGGCCTGCTCACCATAGTTAGTTTCTAACCCATATTTTACCAGAGGGGGTCTTTGTACAAATGTCGTTTACTTGGATACCTCTGTCCCATTCGTGTTTCAACCGTAAAGTTGTGTTGCATAGCTGTGTTTCGGTTTGAAGGGTGGGATATGGCAGTGAATTTACAGGGTACAGAGGAATAACACCTGAGTCCTCAGAAATGGCAACGCAAGGAGGGGTATAATGGGCGAAACAGTATACTCTGTTATGTCCATAGTACTGCTGGTGTCTATAGGCGACGGTTACCACTTTCCATCAGGTGGGCCGTCAGCTTGTTTGCCATTCTAAGTAGTATAAAAAATTTGCATGCCATTTAATGTGTTATGCCACATCAAATGGCATGCAAATATTAATCATTAACTCTACATATATATATATTTTTAACTATTTATTATATTGTAAAATCAAAGCAGTCCAACGCTATATACAAACATGGGAATAAGAGCGAATAGAGAAGTATGGAAGAGAAAAATATATTACGATTTTGGAGTCGGCTAAATAATAATTGAGATAAAGTTGGGAATATGATGACGTTGATGTGATCCCACGTTTATATTATAAATGAAGTGTACGAGTATTAATGGTCCGTGTATGCGCACGTGCGGTGCAGGGCGACCGGTTCGGCGGCGCGCTGGACCGCGCGGCGGCCGACTTCTGCGCGGCGTACGACCGCGGCCTGCACCCGCAGGAGTTCGTCAACGACAAGCGGGCGCGCGGCGAGCTCATCATGGGCATCGGACACAGGTGACGCACACACACACACGCACACGCACACGCACACGCGCACGCGCACGCACACACACACGCACACACACAACACACACACACATACACACCCTCGCACACACACACACACACTCGCACACGCACGCACACACACGAACAAACACATGCACACACGCGCGCGCATATATATACATACGCACACACGCACATATATACACACGCACGCACGCACATATACACATCCACATGCACACATATACACACTCAAACACACATACACATATATACACAGAAAAAGAAACGCATACATATACCCGCGCACATGAATAATTTGTGTCAATTCTGACTCGCAAATAGCTTGAGAGTTATTTGAATTATTTCAGTCCATGATTATTAGTTAAATAAAAGCTTTTAAAAGCATATGTTGCAAGTTAAATAAAAACTCTTAAAAAACATTACCTTTATATCTGTATATACAGGGTGAAGTCAATCAACAACCCGGACTCGCGCGTCCGCGAGCTGAAGGCGTACGTGACGTCACGGTGGCCCGCGTGGCCCGTGACGAGGTACGCGCTCGACGTGGAGGCCATCACCACCCGCAAGAAGCCCAATCTCATACTGAACGTGGACGGCATCGTCGCCGCCGCCATGGTTGATCTGTTCCGCCATTGTCAGCTGTTCACAGCGTGAGTTGTCGTTTTTATAATTTTAAGTAGTAGCGTAAGAAACGTTAGTGGCTTAATATGAAAGGTGTCGTCGCCACCGCCATGGGTGATCTTTTCCGCCATTGTCAGCTGTTCACAGCGTGAGTTGTCATTTTTATAGTTTTTAGTAACTAAAGGCGTAAGTAATGTCAGTAGCTTCATATGGAAGGTATCGTCGCCACCACCATGGGTGATCTGTTCCGCCATTGTCAGCTGTTCACAGCGTGATTTGTGATTTTTATAAGTTTTAGTAACTAGAGGCGTAAATAACATTAGTGGCTCAATATGAAAGGTGTCGTCGCCGCCGCCATTTTTTGATCTTTTCCGCCATTGTCAGCTATTCACAGCGTGAGTTTTCTTTATTTTTAGTGCCTAGAATATAAGTAATGTCAGTGGATCAGTATGCAAGTTGTCGTCGTCGCGGCCTTTTTTTTTATCTCTTTCGCCATTGTCAACTGTTAACCGCATGAGTTTATTTTTGAACTGTTACTTGTTAGAGGCGTGAGTAATGTCACGGTGGCTCTATTTGGGAGGCGTCTTCGCTGCCTCCATGGTTGGTTTTTTCCGCCATTAATAACTGTTTACTGCGTGAGTTATTTTTTACTATACGTCACGATAGTTCAATTTTGAAGGTGTTGGCACCGCCTCTGTAATTGATCTGTTCCGCCATTGTTAGCTATTTACCAGGTGAAGTGTGTTTTGACGTTACCCTGCCTCAATATGAAAGGTGTAGTCTTCGTCATGGTTGATATTTTCCGCCGTTATCGTCCGACTAGTGACGTATATGACGTCACAGTGGCTTTACGTGGACGGTATTGTAGCCGTTGTTCACCGCGGGAATTGTTAGTGGTACTACGTGGTCGAGGTTAAAAGACAGTTTAATGGGCAATGAATTAAGAAAATGTTTTGATATTCTTTTCATTTACTTTCAATTTTTTTTTTTTATTTTAGCCTTTAGACAGGTATTACTAAAATAAAAAAAAAACTTTTTCTACGCAACAACACAAAAATATATTTAAAATAAAACATATCTCTATTTTCAGCGAGGAAGGCAACAACTACATCAATATGGGATCCATTAATGCACTGTTCGTGCTTGGCCGCACCATAGGCCTTGTTGGCCACTACTTAGACCAGAAGAGGATGAAGCAACCCCTATACCGCCACCCATGGGACGATATCACCTATATGTCGCCGCTGAATTGAGCGGCAGCACGCGAGATACGTGTCAGCATGCGTTAACATGCGTCAGCACCCGTTAGCATGCGTCCGGCGGTCAGAGGTTTGGTTAGTCGACCGCTGTTCCCTTAGTTCATAATAGGTTACATGATTGTAGATAATTTTCTATATTTAATTAATTGTAATGTAAGAAATTGTGTGTAGGGCTTTATTGTGACAATTTTAAATTTATTTTGTATGTGCCGCGTTATGAAAGAAGAAAAAAATGCATGCGTGTGAATAAATTTTTGTCTATGTCATGCTGTAAAATTATATAAAATTGCATTAAAAATATAAGAAAAAGAAAACATATTCTTTATCTACCTATTGAATATTATTCCAATTTCAAATATGCAATTTTAAAAATGGAATTAGTAATCTTAATTTCATTTTATTATATACCATAATTATGAAATGTTCGATCAATAAAAAAGTAAAAATAAAAAATATATTATCTATGTGCCTCATTCTTTTTTTAACATTGCATACATTAAAAAAAAACTAGAAATATGACTGTAAGAATTAAATTTACCTAACAATATTTCTATTTTTGCGCTTTATTTTTATTTTTTTAATATATCCTTGAGTAATAGACATAATCTTATTTTTTACTTATTGTTTTCATTTCTCATATGGGACATAGATAAATAACCTATTGTTCTAAATTTGAATTTCTTTTACAACTTGATAAATATCCAAACCTCTGTACTTGTCAACTATATAATAACTCTAGCTAATAATTAAAACGTTTCAAGTCCCAACGGTGGGCACCGGCCCTGTAACTTCTTAATAAATACACATGTATTATTTATTTTTCTATTAAATAGACAATGCTCAAATCAAAACATAAGCAAAAATAATGCACGTGTAATACGTTCCAATAGAACTTAATGTAAATGTAATCCAATTGTTATTAAATATTAACATAGAAATGAATTTGGTAACAAATGGATACATTCAATCCATTGTTTTTTTTTTATATTTGGACGTCAGCAGAGTGTCTATAGGCCACCCCTTCCTTTCTCGTGGGTGTCGTTATAGGCGACTAAGAAAAGGCGAGGGATAGGCAGCAGCGTCCTTATTAAAACATTCCTAAAAACACTGCGGTTGCCAATCCGCCTGCCACGAGTAGCAACTATTGGCAAAACCCCTTAGTGGGAGACTTTTGTTCAACAGTGGACTTAAAAATTTGATATGAAATTGAGTATCTTATGATCGGGTCGGTTTTACGTTTGTTTACGTTTTCATTCCCATCATCATCATATCGGCCGTTAATTGTCCACTGCTGGACATAGGTCTATTATTCCTACTATTATGAGGTTTTGCCAGTAGTTGCCGCGCTTGACAAGCGTATCGGGCTGTATTTAAGCTTTGGTGATGTTTAAAAAGAGACATTGCTGCCTATCCTTCGACTATAAGTTTCCCTTAGTCCCCTCTTACGACACCCACGGGAAAGGAAGTGGTGGCCTGTTCTATACCGGGACCACATGGCCAATATTTTCATTAGTTCTATTGAAATGGACTATATTGGTGTGATCACATCTGTATTGTCAATTTTCAAGTATAATTAATCAGTTTTCAATATTTCTGAATGATTTATACAAAATGTGATCCGGAGGATGTTTTCCTATAAGAGCAAATATTTCTTTTATTACTTAAGAGCGAATAGCGAACAAACTACAGTGCTGCCTCTGCAGTGCGATTTAGGAACTAATCTATTACTATTATGAATTCTCCTTTTAGTCACTAAATTGTAAATTGTGCTGTTTGTCATAGAAAGAAACATTAGGAAGCATTAAATTTGAAATTCGTTACAGGGAATACATTAATTTGGACAAATGGTAAATTATGTTTTGTTTTGTCAAAATATTAACAAATTATTGTTTTGATCCTTCGAGTCAGATTATTCGGCTCGAAGGACCAAACCGAACTATAGTTTGTTATCATACACCGGACTTATGAAATAACGAACTTTAAGTTCGTTATTTTACAGTTACATAAGAAAAATTATGTTAATTAATTATTAATTAAGTTAATAATAATAATAATTTATTGCTCCATTAAGTTTACAAAATAAGATTTTTAATCTTATATTATTCTGTTTAGTTTATTAACTTCATCGAAACATACTATCGCGTTTCGTCGTCTTGTTACTGCAAGCATTATGATAAATAAAAAAAAAAAACCAACTACATTAATACCATAGACAATATTAAAAAAATGTCTGTGGTCACCAATTTTTTTTTTAATGTAATACATCCTATCCTATTATATTATGCATATAGTATAAGTACATTAAAGATCTGTTAAATTTAAAAAGATATGTTTGTTCTGTGTGTGCGAGCGAGACGGCGAATATGTGTACATTTCTCACAAGGGATAATTGGGGTTGATTTAGTTTTTTTGTTTTTTTTTTTTATAGGAAAAATGTTAGTGTAAATTGGATGTAACATAGAAAAACCCACAGAACGCATTATACTAGTAAATAAATAAATAAATACGATTAAGTGCACTTTAAATGTTTTTATATGTTTAAATATAATATTGTAGAACTATAACAAATGTATTAAAATTGGATGAATAAAAATATGTAGCAATTAATCTAAACCAATTTTGAATGCCTACGAATTGAAATTTTTTTTAACATAAAACTTTGCAAATTTAGATTACTTACATACAGAAGGGGCAATAGCCCCTTATTCATAAAAACATATCTGCATTTATTTTTATCTAAAATTATAAAAAAAATGGGGGGGTCGTGTCCTGGAATAGGTTGAAAAACACCGCTCTAAGTACATCCATGGTAATTATACTAGTATAGTTTTTCCCGCTCTCAATCCATTGCCGGTCTGCCAGTACGAGAACACTGACTGTTTAATACTGCATCTATGCTTCCTACATCAAAAAGTATTTTGAAACACCTTGTATAATTTCAAAACAGTCTATTGTGATAACTTAATTTCTTTCCTGTACTGACTGCGATATATATACATATGATCATATATATGATAGCATAATATGTTTTAATAAAATGGTAATCAAGTTTAGTTGAAATTAAACACAGATTGTTTCAATAGAATTGGTAACAAAACAAAATATTAGATTGTTTTTTTTTTAATCATATTAGACATCAGCCGACTGTCTTGTGGTTGTTTATGCATTTTCTTATATATTTTTTTTTATTAATTTCTATTGAAATAAACCATGGACATTAACATAGTCACTGGCCATTTTATTGTAATTAAGTTGTTAATGTATTTACTAAAATATATTTTTTAACAAAATGCAGTTTTATTTATTTACGAATTGGAACAATCGTGATGCGTCTATTTCTCCTATAGCACAGATAATATAATACTATACTAGTACAGATACATCGTCTCGAACAAAGAAGTGAAAAGTCCTAAGTCGACTTATTCTTCAGCCTAATTTGTAGTTGTTCATGTGTGCGCTAGATGCCGCTACTTTTCTAGCCACTCACTAGCTGGGGCTAATAAATTAATTTACCGACGACTACTAATTGCCTATAGAGACAATACATGGGACTTTTTGTCTGTATATTCTACAAAATTTGATTTTAGAACAACCATTATTTTCTGATCGATAATTCATATACTAAGAAATATAGTATAAAAATATGTTATCCAAAAAAATACAAAATTATCCAGACAAAGTGCCACTAATGTGATCACACGTCCTGATCAGCACGCGATTTACCTATTTTGCCGTATCTTTATCGGCAAAATGAACATTTACCGGTCCGGGCAAAAATGTTTTTTTTTTTATACAACTTAGAAAGGCAAACTAGCTGACGGTCCACTTGATGAAAAGTGGTAATTGTCGCCTACAGACATAAGCAGTACCATGGATATAACAGGGTATAGTGTTTCGCTCACGATACCCCCCATGCGTTGCCATTCCTGAGGACAGGTGTTATTCCTCTGTACCCAGTAAATTCACTGCGATATTCTACCCTTCAAACCGAAACAGCCATGCAAACACAACCGCTTCACAGTTGAAACACGAATGGGGCAGAGGTACCCAAGCAATCGACTTTTGTACAAAGTCTCCCTCTGGTCTATGCGTCGGCTTTACTCGCGACATTTAAAAAACAGTACGATAGTTTTTATTAAGCATGGGAAATATAGATTCGATACCAATTCGATATCTATATTTTGGATTTCTCTGAACTTTGATGTTGGTTATTATTATACATAAATAAATAAATTGGTGCTATTGGAGGTCTTACTCAGTCTTCTTTACGTAAACTCGTCGCTTTTTCATCAATTAAAAATTTAGGACGAATGCTTCAAATTCAATTAGAGAAAACCTTTGAATATTTTATTTAATTATATATTCATTTTTAATTAGTAAAAGGTCATTACTGATTTATGGGCGATATCGAAATGGGTGATGACCTTTTAACAAGTAATTCTTAGTAATTTAGTTGTATATACATATGTATGTTTATTCCAGCATTACGCTAAACTACTGCACCAAATTTGATGGCGTTTTCATAGTTATGTTTGTATGTCATCTATAGATCTACTTTATTGGTTTCCTTCTGAAACGAACGGACGGACGAAGCAACGGATGAAAAGATAGTAAATAAAACACATATGTTGATTAAATTTTTATTTTTAAATTTCCTAACAGGTAATTACGGTGACGCCCGAGCTGAATGGCGGACGCAGATTTCAAGTACCGCTTATTGCTAAAATAATTTGGCTCATTCTAAAAAAATTAATGTAATATATGGGGAAGCCTACTGCCAATTTTCTTATACCACAGACGAACTTATCTCTAAAAGAGATTTCTTCCAGTCAACCTAACACAGTGGCATAGGAAGTGAGTGGGCAGCAGTAGTGCAAAACAGAAACTAATATAAATATTTACATAAATTGTCAATAAACAAGCATTGTGTTATAAACAAACTTAATTTCTATTTATATTCTGTATTTTTTATGACTTATAACAGTCTAGAAAAAAAAAATTTCGCGCCATTTTATTTAATGTCACTGTCAGTAGACTTCCAAGTGGCGCCACCCTTTAACGTGATAAAGTTAAATACATAAACTTTAAAGGAGCCTCATAATTGATTAAATACTATTGTTTTTACACATCTATATTCAATGCAAAGTAACTGAGGATATTTTGTTATGTAAAAAAATATATAATCTGAAAAAAAATTAGGTACTCTTTTCACACTGTATACCTTTTTTTTTAATTTCTCAGTAACATTATTTCATACAAAAAAAGTAACTCGATGGTCATATAAAAATGGATTTGAAATAATCCTGAAAGGTATAGACTTAGCATAAAGGCGTTCTAACATTTACATAACATATTTGAGTTAGCTAACGCCAATTATTTCAATAATCTTACAATAATTATGGGTAGTAAATACAAAACCATGCATTGTGGTCATTAAAAAAAACATACAAAAGCAGTACGAGCCTAAATAATGATTTCCCGCCTAAACTTAACAATTTCAAATTGCGTTCCATTACTGAAAATTCTGCGTCCGCCATTTTATTGACAACAATATGGCGGCACCACTTAGAATATAGTAAAACTAACATGAGTTACCTGTAGCGATAAAAAATACTAACGTTTGAATAGTCGCCGATCACGTTCATAAATAAAACAATAATAACCTATGAGTTGATAACAAAATTATTATAATAATTAATAACCAGGTTTGGTGGAGTGCGCACACGAGTACTTCGAAGATGCTGCCATTCATTGTGGTCGATTCCGAGCCGCCATTTCTCTAAACCTATCTCTATACTTAAAATTTCAATTTGATATAGCAGTGTTTTTTTTTTTATTGTTAGGGAGGCAAACGAGCAGACTGCCAATTATTTTTTTCTAATTAATTAGAATGACTAACAGTCAGAAGGGAAAAAATGTTGGGACACTTGATTAAAAAATAGATTTAGAGAGATGGCAACACTGAATCGACACACTTTTATTAAAAAAAATTAATTAAATATGAAAACAATATTTAGTATTTTGTAAAATTAATAAAAATTTGACGAATAATTGTAATATTAATTGGTCACAATGTCAATTAGATGAAGTTGATTCATTATCTATTCTCTTCATCATTGGTGATGAATTATACATTTCAAACGTCAATTAGTACTCGTAGGTACATTACACGCGCCACCAAACCTACGTGCGATTAACTTAAACATTACAAAATATAACTTATCAACTATATGACAATTTGGTACAAGACATCCAATTTTTGGACAGTAAGATTATATGTCTATAATACATTGGTCAGGGTGGGTTGCAGCGGTCGCGCTGCTACTTTCCAGCCGCTTAGAGATACCGCGGACACATATAAAATTGCTTTTCTACAGTTGGCACTATTGGTTAACGATGGAGTCGGTTCTGAAGCGTCATTTATCTAAAGCTAAAATAAAATTTTCAATTTGATATTATAACGAAATCTTTATTGTAAGGACCAATACAAATTAATGTTTATATAGTTTTAAATTTTTTTTTTTATAAATATAGTTTTTGATCGTCCGTAAAACAGACATTTCGTGAAATTATCAAATTCAAATACTAAGGGATAACTTTAGAGACGCTTCAGAATCGACCCCAATGGCTTAGCATGGCTTCTTATAGAACTCAAAATCCAAAAAGGGCTAACAGTCGCCTATAGACATGAACAGCACCATGGACATAACAGTTTACACTGTGCCGCCCATGATACTTCCATGCGTTGCCATTCTTGTGGACTAAAGTGCTAAGGAATAACAACGTAATTTTATTGCCATATACCCCCCCCCCCCCCCATTGGAGGAGGCCTATGTTCAGCAATGGACAGTTACGGTATACCACCCTTTTAGCACAAACATTCATTTTTTCTGCCATAAAGCAACAATTCTAAAGCTGTGTTTAAAATAAAACAAATAAAAAATAATAATAACCAGATTAAATTAATAAAATTAACTATTAGTTATATATATATATATATATATATATATATATATATATATATATATATATATATATATATATATATATATATATATATATAACATTTAGTCATTTCGATAAAACATACCGAGATTGTTCACAAACTGTGCCAAACATAGAAAGAAAAACATATAGTTTGATATCGCTATATTAAACGGTCGCGTTAGAAAAAAAAATCATATTTCCGACGTCCCACCACGTGTATCCGTATAGACTAGGCCGCCCGCGCTACATACGCGTGTACATATAAACCGGACCTGCTTCACCGTCATCTATCACCCCTCACTGGTGCCCCGCCAGTGTATACCGACAGCGCAGACGGGGTTACCATTCCATTATCATCCATTAAAAAAAAAGTCCGGTAGATGGCAGGGATGCCCAAGTTCGCGGATCCCTACGTGAACCGTACCGTAAGAAAATATGGAGCGACCTTTCCCACGACCCTCCACCATACAACCTCGAATCCTTCAAACGAAGCGTAAAATGGCACTTTTTTTTTATACCACTGAGGTGGCAAACAAGCATACGGCCCATCTGATGGTAAGCGGTTACCGTAGCCTATGAACGCCTGCAATACCAGAGATATTACGCGCGCGTTGCCGACC